AGACTACATGAACATAGGGGAGGGCCAGGATGCCATAGAAGGAGACAAGCCCTTGGACAAACTGCTCACCTCTCACAGCTGTGGGCTCACCAAAACCAGCCTGGGCTAAAAAAAGAGCTATCTTTATTATAATGTGAGACATGGAATAAACTGTCCTTTTTATTTAAGTTACTATATTTTTCTTAGTTTCATTAACATTGCCATTTCAGGGCTGGCGAGATAGCACAGCAGACTAAGCACCTGCTTAGGCAAGTGCTGGGATCAGGCACCACACGCCCTGGGAGTGGTGGTGCACTGCCTGTAATCCCAGTGCTGGGGAGGCTGAAAGCAGGAGGATCACTACGAGTCTGAGCTGCATAGTGAGACCCTGTACCACACACATAAAAACAAAACAAAACACTGCCCATTTCTTTAGACACACCCTAACTTCAACACAAGAACTCATGACTGCCAGTAGCTGCACCAAGACCTCACTGCTGTCCATGTAGGTTCTGTGGCTCAGCAACTGAGACGGTTATCTAGGAAGACAGAAAGACTATAACATAGCTTGACTTCTCCATGCTGCCTGGTCTCCCCAGAGGAAGAGGGAGCTATAGTTGCCCCCATCTCATGGAATCACACTCCTGCATCTTCAATGCAGGGCCATCCAATATGTGGGTGCTGGCCTCCTTTTAATGTCTTAAACATGCAGGCATCTCCCTCACTCTGAGCAAGGTAACAGAGGCCCCACCCACTTCCCACCTCTCACTCCCTGTGCCGGTTCTTTCCTCACAGGCAAACAGAGTCCTATGCCACTTCCCTGTCTCCTGCACACCGGGGAACAAGATTAGTGACAAACCAGATGGCTGTCTTTGTAGATACACGCACACATTATGTGGCCAATTCCTCATAACCCACCACTGTTACTGCCTACTTTACAGATGCCAAGCCCATGGACTGTTCATCATTGGATTGAATTTGAAGACTAGTTCCCACCATGCCCTCAGCCTCATTTGCCTGGACGAAGGCCACTAGAAGAAACCCTCATGGCACTTTTCCCCCTTTTCCTCAGGATCCTTTTCCTCCAGTCACATCCAACCATGACTCTTGTCATCTAGAAGAAGTTGTCCCTGGGCATCTCCTTCAAGTCTCAGCAGCCGTTCATGTCTTCTTCTTGGAAACCCTTCTACATCTACCTCTCCCTGGCCCTCCTTCTACTGTGACCATCCCCATAACTTGTACTAGCTGGCCTCCCCATGGCTGCCCAAGCCCTTCCCCACACTTAACTGCCAACTTCCAGATTTATTTTTTAAGAACACAAGCACCTGGGCTATTTTGCTTAGAAACCACACTGGCTGCCCAGTTCCCACCACCCAGACTGCAGCTTCTCCTTAAGACTAAAACTCACTGCAGTGTTGCATTTTATCAGCAGTCTATAAACTTCTTACTTTGCATAAAGTTAATTCATTCCTTCAGGAAACATTTCCTGAGCATGTTCTCAATCCTCAAAAATCTCTGAGAAGAAAAAGAGCTACCCAGATACCATTCCAGAAGGAAAGAGGTATATTATGCCTATCACAGAATACAAAACACAAACACTATGAGTAGTCATATAAATGTACAGAAGCCACAGCACAGAACCAGAACCAATGCTCTGACCCCTAGGAGTCATCTTGCACCCAGCCAGCATCAGGAAAGCAACCAAGAAGGAAAAGGGTATCTCTTTTCAAATGAAATGCATTCTTATTAGCACCCCCAGTTCTGGTACTACAAGCAAGTTTGAGGGAATAACAGGAGAAACACACACACAACACATATGAGCTTATTTGAAGGCACAGAGATCTGCACACATGGATACTCCTTCCCAACTGAATACCAGAGCTTCAGGAACACAAGAACCAGCACCACCAACATGGCAAACATCAATAATTCTGTGATGTGCGACTCCAGCCACAATCCACTCTCAAGCGTATGTACTAGCATAGAAGAAAGAGATGTAGCACACTGCAGGTGGGCTCTGAGATGTACCAAGGCTACTCACAGCTCTGGTCTCATTAATGAGAGGCCTAAGAAGACAAAGATCTGCAACAGGACTGGCTGCAGCTGCCCTAGTCCCAGACCAGTCCTCTGGGCTCCCAGAAGGGGACCCTACAAATGCCAAGCCTGGATGTCCTGCAAAGAAGTGACCATGGCAGAACAAATTCTTGTCAAAAGACAACTGCCTTCTTCAATATCACAAACTGCCCCACCAGCCCACCAGTCTGGCAGCAACACAAAGAGCTGTCCAAGGACAGGTTTTGATGGCCTTAAGTAGAGAAGAGAGAATAAGAGGAGTGAGAAATGCAGCTTTGTACATTCATCTACTTCTTGACACCAGGAGGGTGGGATCACTATCACATCTTCATGTTAGACAGAAGGGTCTATGGTTGCTATGGTCTTAAATCTATGCACTCTTCTCTACCCCAGTACAAAACCACAGCAATAGAAGCGTGCAATGGGTCTGTCCAAGGGTGTGTCCAAAGAGGCAGAAGCAGGCCAGGATCCCTATACTCCCCTTCCTAATGCAGAGAAGGCCTCACATTGCCACCTGGTCCTCATCCCCACTATGGCATTGAGAATTGTCTGTCTGGTAAGTCCAACTCATTTTGCCTCTCCTAAGAAACGTTCTCAACATAAACTGTTTTTTGTTTTTTTTTGAGTGGGGAGATGAGAAGACTGAAAAAGATGGTCAAAATCTCTGAAGAATTATACAGTGAAGAAGTATGACATATGAACATTTATTCCATGCACTCTAAACAGCACCAGTAATGTCCAGGCAAAGACAAATTTTCCAAATTCTAAATTTTCCATGAAATATTCTGTTCTTAACTGAATTTGCCCAGATAGTACTCAGAAGGGCCAGAAAAGCTCTAGGGCAGACACTGAACACAAGCTACTCATTTCCAGTTAACTGGGCAGCTACTGAGACCAGCACTGTGTGAGGTGGGATCAGAAAATGACACAGGAGTACGCTTTACAGAAGTCCACAGCCCTAGCGGAGATGCAGCCCTCGAAGCTTCCAGAGTCCACTGTGACCCTGAATGCCTGATATAGCCTCACCAGAGTTAATACTTAGTTATGCTGTATGTCAGCACTCACCCAATCTCCCCAAGTAAAACAGAAGTTGCTTAAATCACACTGGAGATATGGTTACCTTCTTGTGATTCTTTGCAGTCAGGGAAAGTCGTTCACTGTCAGAGCTACATGATAACTCTAAAGAGCCCAAGAAGATACTTCGAGCACTGCTCAGACGTTTTTGTAATGCAAAGTAGAGCATGTCTAAAAGATAGTAATTGTCTCTCTTAATCCTTCCAAGTTTTATCACAAATTGTCATAAAAAAAAAAATACATCAGCAGGCTACACTCCCTAGCAGAAGAAATTCAACCTTCCTTCCAAAAAACCCCAAAACTAAGCACTGTTGCTTCACACTGCTTGTCTGCCCATTTCCAGCTTTCCTGTCAGGGACCAGGGACAGAAAAGTTTGGCTCTCTTACGCATCTGCCCTTGAAGAGAACACAGCCTTAACATACACCAGGGTCTCATCGTGAAGGAGGATTTCAAGTCTGATCCCTTTGTTCTCTAGCGCCAGAGCAGACACAGCTGGCTAACCACCCCTGGAAAGTTCTGTGCACACGTACCTGAGCTGTGCACAACTGTGCTCATCTCCCCCTAAACACATGGAGGCCCCATTACCTCTGCCTACTGCTGGGACCCAGCGTTCCTGTGGAGCAGATGGACAGTGAGAGTGCACATCTCACGCCACTGTCTCCACTACATGCCACACATTTTCCTAATTGTAATGCTCATCACAAGTAACACAAGAGAACTCCTGAAGGCATATTAACTTTGGCTTTCTCCAATAAATTATTAAGTGTTTAGATTTTTTTTTTTTTTGTACTGGCAATGAAACTACGACCTTGCGCTTGCCAGGCAGGAGCTCTGCCACTGAGCTATAGCCCCAGGACAAGTGCTTAGAATTTTTTATTCCAACTCACACAGTCCTAAGTGTTCCTGAGAGGCTCAGTGTTTCCCAGCAGAGTTCTTCAGGTGATCTTGTTAGGAGACTCAGACAACTAGTATTTGGTCTTCCACTTACAGTTCATATTTCTAGATTTAGTCTTATCACAATGTTCTTAAACAACCTTAACTTCCCCTGAAAATTTTGACACATATCCAACATGGAAAGGAGAAAAGTTTCAAGGTGAAAAGTTTCACGGCTAAAACAGTTTTCATTCATTTTGAGAACTGAGAGGATCTGAGGCCAACAGAGTACTTACAGAAGATACAGTTTCTTGCACAGCAATGAACACTTAACTTTAGGCTTACAAAGATCACAAACATAAAATGAAGAGAAAGAGTAAGATGCAGAAGCGGGAGTTTTCAGATTTGTTCCTCCGAAAATGAATTTAATCCACAGGACGCGCCACCTCCTCCCAGCGGACGTCGCGGCCCTAGTTCTTGCACACCTCAAAGTGTGCTGGTCGTCTGGCAGCTGACCCAGGGCTCTGCTCCCGCGGCGGCGGAGTCAGGCGCGCTGCCCCGCGGGGCTCAAGGTGCACGCTCTGCGCCCCGCATTCTAGCTCACCGAGGAACCAGCCCTCCCTACTCCGCTGCAGTCGCAAACGCATCTTAAACGCAGTCGCCGCAGGCTTTTCGATTTAAGGGGGAAGCAACAGCTCCGAAGCTGGCCGGGGGAAGCCTACGGGAGCTTCCCGCGGCGAGGCGGCGCGAGGACGCAGCGTCCCGGGGGAAGCTGCCGCTCGAGGGGCCCGCTCGGCCCGGAAGGTCTAGGGAGAGCCGGCGCCGAAGCGGGGAGATCCCGACGCGCTCACGCGCGCCGCCGCCGCTCGGCGATCTCCACCACCTCGCCTCCTCCAAGGACCCCTCAGGCGCCTGCTCTCCCCGTCGCCCCTCACTGCCCCTCACTCTCCTCCAGGTTCCCTCGACCCCTTCCACGCCGCCTCCCGAGCCCACCGCCTACCCCGTCTCCGGAGCGCAGACATGTCGGGCAGCTCGGCCGCGCGGCGCGCCGCCGCTTCCGGATTCCGTCCGGCTACGCCCGCCCACTCCAGAAAGGACCCAATCCACAGCCGAGCCTCCGCTCAGGATTGGCTCGCACCGGGCTGTGGGCGTGCCCCGGCTTGACCCCGCCCCTGCTGCGCCTCCGCGGAGTCTGCGCGCTAGGCAGGGGCGCGGGCTGCCGGCTGCTCGCGGGCTCGGCGGACCAGAGCGCTGACAGCCGGGGTGCGAGGCCTGAGGGGCGCGACGGAGGGCAGGGGAAGGCCGAGAACCGGGGTGGGAGGGCGACGAGAACCGCCCTGCGCGGGTCCTCCTAGACTTTCGGGTCGCCCGACGCGGCCCCGCCTCCCCGTGTCGGCCCCCCCTTTGCGGCTCTCGCGCAGCGAGGGCTCCCGCTCGACCGTATCGCCAAGCCGCCCCTCGCCCGGCGCGGACCCAACTTTTTTGAGCTCGTGTCTCCAGAAACACGATCGCGAGTGTCCGTGTCCGGCCCTCCTCTGCATGAAAGGCGCGAGACGCAGCTCTTCAGGACGGCTGGGATCGCACCAAGACGAGAGCTGTGAGAAAGCCACGCAGGGAGCGCAGCCTGGCGCCTTGTGGAGGGTCCTCGGACCCGGTGCTGGCAGGTCCCAGCCAGAAGCCCCGCAGCGCCAGCCTCCGCGTCTGGAGCCACTGCCAGAGACTCCCGAGAGGGACCTGCAAGTGGAAGGTCGGCCCTGGGCGGAGGAGTGAAGCGACCCCACGTGCCTTTGAGAAACGGCTTTGGCGCTGTGCTAAGAGCAGAATTCAGTGGGAGGAATCTGGAGACACCTTGAGTCAGCTGCAGCGGGGAAGACGTTGGCGGCCAGCATCGAGTGGGAGCGTTGGAGGGTGTGGGAGGAGGCAGTCAGCTGTGGACGTGTTTGTCGGCAAAGCCTAAGAGACTCTGTGACTGATCACGCTGGACCCTGACAGACTGGCTCGCCACCTACTAAGTGGAGAGTAGCTCCAAGATGCTGGTCTGCATGGATGAGGCAGAGACCCATTGGGATCCTTGCTGTGGTGGCGAATGGACTTTCAGGCAATGAAGTCTGAGATGCTCACAGAATACACAAACCTAAGAGGGCCCCAAGGGAATGGGAGGGCAGAGAAGGGGGTTACGATTGGGTCTGGAAGTGCCCAACTTTTGAAGAGTGGCTTGATGTGGAGGTTCCAGCTGTAAGAGGGAGTGGCCAGAGGGGAAAGGGAAAAACTGAAGCTTTCCTGAAACCAACTCAAAAAGGAATCATTTGCCTCAAATGATGTTGGTAGACCAAGATGAAAGCTGATCATATACAGCTTGATTTGTCAAGCTGGCTCCTTGGTGACTTTGATTACAGTAGTTTCATGAGAAAGTAGAGGTGAAAATTTCATGGAATTGACAGGGAACCACAGGGAAAACATTGGATGTGACAGCACTGGTGAGACCAGAAAGATGGGGTGATAGTTGTAAAAGTTGAGAGAGAAACAGAAACAGAGATTATGTACCAATTTGACCATATCAAATTGATTTTGAAAAACATGAATACTGCAGGAGAGATAGAACAATACACCTGAACTTCTCAAAAAAGTTGACTACAGAGCCAGTATCCCCTTTGAAATCAGGCCCTTGTGCTTTAGCACTTATTCTACTGAGCCATCTCCCTGGCCCCTCCCCTTTGACTTCTTCAACTGATGCTCTGTAGTCTAGCCCCCCCTTCTCCTTCCGCCCCTCCACTGGTACCTGTTCCACATGGACCACCACATCACAAACTCTAGCACACACATAACAGTACTCCTATAATCCATTCTCTCAGAAACACTGTCCACTACCCAGCTGCCAAGCCAGCCTTGGGAGGAAAAGTTGCATTCATACCCTTCCTCTTTTCTTACATGGTCCACCCAGGGTGGGAAAAATCACATCACATATGTTCTCTTTGCAACATTTCTTTGTTTCACTGCCTACTTTGTGTTTTAGCTTTGCTTGCTAAGATTTCTTCAGGCATTTTAAAGTGGACTTCCTCAATCACACTCTTGTTTCCTCATTCCCCACCCACCACCATCTTGTGTCCTCCTAGGAGCCAAAAAAGATCTTTTTAAAATTTCCCTGCCATTCAAAAAGCACTCAGTGTAACCCACCAGAGCAAGAACTTACAAAGGAAAGGTCACATAATCTTATCAACAGATGCAGAGAGAACATTTGACGAAATGTAACACATGTTCATGATTTTTTTAAAAAGTCAACAACAAGCAGAAACAGAAGGTAGAATCTTGTGATAAATAACATCTACAAAAACTATAACATCATAATGCAGTTTTCCTACTAGGATCAGGAACACAGTATGAATACTCCCTTTCACCACTGATTATCAACATAATAGAAATTCTAGCTAATGTAATAAGACAAGAAAAGGAAACAAAAGTATACACTCTGAGAAGAGGGAAATAAAATTGTCCTTGTCCAAAAATGACATCATATGCAGAAAATCTTATTTCCCTGCTCAAAATTGTGTTGTATGTAAGATTCAACACCAAGTCCTTAAACTTCCTATAAGAACATCCGACTTACTGGCCAGCCACACATTTATGCCACTCTTTTCTAAATCACTTAGTTCTGATTATCCTATCTGGTCATTTAGAAGAAAAAGCACTGATTACTTGTCATCCCCGGTCTTTGGGCCTGCCCTTTTTTCTGCAATAATTATTTTCCACCCAATCTTCCTACTTGAATCCTGTTCCTCCTCAGGGCCCTAGCAGTTACTAACCTCTGACTTCACGCCACTACTCACCTCATTCCTGGTTGCTTTCTCTGAAGCTGTAAGAAGCCCTCAGCTGAGAGAAGTGGAGGTGAGGGGACAATCCTGAGTCACTGGCAGATGAAAGTCAGCTGAAAACATACCCCACCTTCTTTGCAATCTGAGGTGCATCTCAGGCTGTTCCTCAGGAAGCAGGACTACACCCAGCAGCCTGCAGGAATGACAGCCTCCTTTTGCATCTTCATTCTTTTTCTTTCCCAGGCTCACTCTTTCTACTTCCTCTGCCTAGTTTCTGGAGAGCAGTCTCAAAGAGGTACCTGCACTCAAATCCATGCCTCAGGACCTGCTTGGGGGACAACTTGGAGGAAGATTCACTTCATTATGACTTATTCAAAACATTCTTTCCTGACATCACAAAGTATTAGCTGCCCTTTTCATCTTTTAGTAACACCTTGTCTTTTTCCTTCAGATAAGCAGTTGTACTTCTGATTCCATGTTGTGACTTTCAGCATGACTTTTCCTGAGACTTGCCAGTCGACGTGGTCAGTGACTACCAAAGCAGTACTGAGGTAAAATTGTTGCTTCTGTTGCATGAGAGGACAAATATGTGAAAGGATTAAAACAAGCGTGAAGAGGAAGAAAGTAAAGGACCTATGAAGTTTAAAATCTTACAGATTTGCCTGCTATCTAGGTTTTTGATTGAGGTTTAGCATATCAACTCATTGGTTTTTGATGGTGGACATTTGCAGATACTAGAAACCTAAGAAATTACTGTGGTCAGATTTGTAAGCAATTTACTTTGTAAATAAACTGCAAGAGATTAGCATTTGAGTAACTGAGTACATAAAAATTTTAGGGAAATTTTTAAAGATTTTGGAATTTTTGGAGTAGAGTGGACTCATTCCAGGTATCTTTCATACTGTTTCTTTCTTTTAAATTCAGCTTGATGCTTACATTTTTAGTCTCATTTTAAAATCTTGCTTCAATTTCTCAGCAACACAGGCAAAGCAAGGTCCATTGCTATATTTGCATTAAAATGGGCGTCAGGCTCTTGCTGGGTTCTGGTGGTCCACAGTGCTGGAGCCCAGGTCTCTGGGGCCGGGACACTTAGCCCTAGACCTCAGGAACTTTTCTTTAGGTTGGGCTATCCCAGCTCGATCTCGGAAGGAATTTCCATGAATCCGACTGGGCCTTTCTCAGTAGCGCCAGACTGCTGTGGGTTGCCAACGCAACTTTTAACGGGATGGCGTGTTCCTTTTCATTGAGCGCTGGGGCAACCCTGGCCTGAGGACAGCTTTTTTCGAGCCCAGGGCGCTCGCGGCGTCTGCGCTGGGTCTGTTCTTGGGCCTGTGACGCCCCTGGTAGATCCTCCTCCTGCAGTGAGACCCCGGGCTCAGGTCACCTGCAGGAAGGTGATGGGTTAAGACCGAGAAAGGCTCGGTATCCCGCCTTCCCGTGGCGCGCTCCCGCGGGGACTCTGCCAGGCGCGCCCTGAGCCCCGCCCGCCCCGGAGCCCGCCGGGTCCCCTTGCCTCGCGGGCGCTGGGCGGAGCGGGATCCTCGCTAACTTTCGGCGCGCGCAGCACGTGCCGCGAATCCTCCGCCACGCCAGCGGCCTCTTGGGCGCAACAGTTGGGCGGGCGCTGCCTGGGCGGCCGTGTGCGCGCTCCCGCGTGCGCGCCGGGC